TAGTATAGATAGCAATTCAATATTTTAAAAAACTTGTATTCTGTTTCGCACAGGACTTTTTATTCGAAATTTATACTTCCTCAAGGATGCTGGTATGGTTAATTTTTTAGAGTGAATGAGCTTCTTTTTTTTTATTTCTCGTAACCTCAACCGACAGAATTCACGCAGCAAGCTAATATCTTGCCACCAGAGTGAGCCAATTATATTAATATAAAGTACGTAATTCCCCACTGTAATATAATTATGGAAGTTTGTAAATGCGTGTACGTATGCGAAGTGAAAGTACAACATTCAGTGTTTAAAGAAACTACTTTGTCAACGAGTTAAACAACTTACTTTTACGCTTGAAGTAATTCCGGCGTCTGCTAGATGTATATCTCCTTATGAAACCCTTGATGAAGATATTACACGTTTTTATCTTTGTTTTTACAATTTACTTCTTCCGACTATCTGTTCTTGTGTAGTAAGAAAACACTAAACGTAGTTTTTGAAAACATTTGAGAGACTATAAACATCCGTTCACAGGTCTTCAGTGTGAAAGCAAAAAAATAATTCAATAAAACTCATTTATCTAATGACGCAGAGAATTAACATGTTTATGTAGTTGACTTAATGCGCAAACTCCCATAGAACGTTTTTATTCTATTCTTAATTTTTTAGGTAAACTTCCTTATTTTTTTAGGATCACTGATGAATATAATTTCATGAAGTAAAGAAATAATGAACATTTGACATGCAAAAATATGAAAATCCGCATGTTAGTTTCTAAGAAAAAAATTCGAGAAGTTTGATGGCATTACACATCACACAAAGTAGAATATACCCTTAATCGATCATAAGTGTCACACCGGTGCATGCACATGCAGTTTTTTGCCACTAAGAGTAAACGCACCAATGGATGAACACTTAAGAGATTTTGTAACTATCTATTAATGTCGAATTTAGAATCATAACAATATTAATAAATATTTGGTACATGCAAAATTAGATTTTTTAAAATCTGTATCTTTATACATATAACGCATAGATTTCAATTTGAAAAATTGGAATAATGTAACTAGTTAAATTAAAAAGAAAAAATACAGATTTAACCAATGAATGAACAATATTAAATAAATGAATATTTCCAGCCAATGGCGCGAAAATTGTTTGAACATGAAGCAAGGAATTAAAAAAAAAATCAATATTTAATCACTTGCTTATTTTAGTAACTTAATTTACTCGTTGCTTTATATAATGTTCATTCACTGGTATGTGTTCATTTACTAGTGCATTCACCCGTCATTTAAAATTTCACGAACAGTAGCGCTTCTAACGTTTTCTCTAGCTGCATCGAGGACCTCGCTGTTAATTGTTTCGCAACTTACTCGGGCGGTTTCCTTCGGAAATTACCAAGATCAGCCCAGTAGATACGATTAACGGAGGTTATTTTGCAAGCATCGATCACGAACGAGGTAAACACGAACTCTGTACGCGTCAAAAGCAACATGAAACAACGCGAGGGGCCGCTTAACCCGACAGTACGGCCGTCTAACAAAGAAACTGAGGACACGAGGCGCGCGTACAACTTGGTTCCAACCCCGGCGCGCAAAAGACGCGACGACCAGTGGGTATTCGGTGTCGTCAACGAGGTCAGGTTTTAAGGTAAAACCGGAGAGTCAAGCTGGAAGAGCTGAGGCTCGTCCTTGCCCGGGCGTTTCACGTTTCAGGGTTTCGATACAAGAATCACCTTAAAATGGAGACACATCGTCGCTTTTCCATTACGATTTCAGCAATCCCGACGACACAATACACGTATTGTAGATATGTAGTGTACCAATCCCTTTTACACGAGGACCGTGAGTCCTTCATTTTGGAAGTTAACGAAGAGAAATGTCGCTTTCGAAAAATGATTCTTTAGAAATACTTGTTTGTGTTGCCCATTTTATTTGGTGTTTCAATAAGTATACATAAGATCAGCATACTGAAGATATTAAAAATTATGACGTACTGCGACCTTGAAGTGAAGTAGAAAACAAAATTTTATGACGTTGCGACCGCAGTACGAAAAGGAACGCCGGGAGAATATGTACATATTTTCCTGTTATTTCTTTGACAAAGGAAAAGGCGCATCAGTTTGTTTGAGCATACTTTTCATATTGAGTCAACGCGGAATATAACGATATGTGGGCGAAATGAATATAAAACAGTTGAAAAATTCAATTCTGACCTACAATACCGGACAAATGAATTCCAACACATTTGTCTGTTGGTTTCTTGTTATGGTGATGTTACAAAAGTTCCGCTCTGCGGAGTGTTTACTACTGGTTCGATGTTAATTTTCATAAAAGTTAAGATTCATAACGATAGATAAAATAAGTTTTATCTATCTTAGACAAAAATATTCCGACGTTTCATTTACAAGCACAAATTGTAACCTGAAACGCGAACTCCATAAAAACATCGTATTCTATCTCTATTTTATCCACTCGAAGATGGTACGAGGCAAAAATTTGCCATCAATTTTAACCCTGCTGTTCTCCTCACTTATTCTTTACGTTTGTATCCCTTCGAATAAAATTATTTTATGCTTTGAAATGGGAAAAATTTAAGTACCTTGGATACTAAAAACATGCATTTAAAAACAAAATTCCTATTGAAACATAATCTTCATTTCGGGCCGTATAGGCCCAAGGAAAATAACAGGGTTAAAACAAAAAAACTTATTGTTAGCTTAAATGCAGCGTTGGTATCCATAGTTTCTCGATGTGTGGACATCCTGAAATATACGGTACATACATATATCCAATAAAAAAAAAAACAATTTGTTCAACAAAGTCATTTAGAAAATACATACAAAAGTATTCGTACACCCTTTAAAACGGAACAACTTTTTTCAAACTGGTCCGAGTGACCTGAGTTTTTTTGTGAAGTTACAAACATTAGTTTACTAAATGACGTGTACAAAAATTTGAAAAAGTTGCAGTTGGTCCGAATAGCGAAGAAAATAGTAAAGGTTACTTTTTACAACTTTTTTATTGATAACTAACATAAATCTTCGATGTGTATTTATTAAATTTTCATTATAGCCTCCTTTTTCAATTTTTTTTTCACATCATTTACTCAACTAATGTCCCTAAATTCACAAAAGAACTCAAGTCATTTGGACCAATTTTAACAAAGTTATTCTGTTTAAAGGGTGTTCGAATACTTTTATCCCCCACTATAGGTATAACGAAATGTGATCGACCTAATAGAATATTAATTAGTCAAGACAGGCGTTGATTACTGAATGTTACATTAGTGGTATAGCTAATTCAAATAATGCAATTTGTTCAAAGACGTTTCTCCTTTACTATGAGTACCTGGTTTGTATGTAGTTTCTTTTTATCGAAACGCGAAGGAATCGACGAACGATACAAACGCAAACCGAATGACACACGAGAACGGCCACGGAAACTTACAGGCTGTTATTACATGTATCCTATACCGTTATATAAGCGTTCGGTCACGAATTGTAATTATTAATCCGTCTCCGCGAACTTTCCCCGTGTGGTTTTTATCAAAATGAACACGCGTCCTTGGTTCTGTTCTCGGTCCATAAATCTGAGATGCGCAATTTCCATTCCACATAACTTCGTAAGTGGATATCTATGTGAAAGGTAATTCTACCGTATTAACATGGATATATACAAACTGATTATTAGAAAAGAGAATTTCTTTTGAAATATCTTGAAACACATACATTTACTCAAAATGGTTTTGAAGTGGAAACCTAAAACTCCAATTTTATGGATTTTAATCTTAAAAATGACAGAAAACAACTTCGTAAATGATCACACAATATTAAATTTTAATTTTAATTTTGAACGTTTAACCAACTTTTAGTTTGAATTGTGATAGTCATACTGTTGAAATAATATGATAAGGACATAGTACCTTAGTGAACATTTCATTCTTTGATTCAATTGAATAAATTTCTATTTATTACTCGTTGTTATTAAGTGTTTCGAAGAATCTGAATATGTATCCGTCATGAACCTAAACGTGCATAATCATTTATTTTAAACAGATTTTACCTTGTTTTATTATGCAGTAGAATAAAATATGCTGTTGCGTCAATGTTGGTAACAAATTATAATATTTTCATGCTGCATCATAGAAGGTCATTTGAAGCTTAATAGTTAATATAATACGTGGTTAAAGTTGTGTTTTGAATAGCTACGATACTATGCTATAAAAAATACAGTTCAGAAACTAGTGACGCCAAAACACTTAACAACGAGGGCGACGATATATGTATTGTCTAAAATTCTTTAGATATTAAAAATAGTCTGTATTTTATCACCCCATTAAATTACCACCAAATAAATATTGAAAAATAACGTAAAGAGAAATTCTTAACAGATTGTTGACGGTATGCTGTCAAATGTACCTATGTAGGTAGCCTTAATTCCCACACACTTTCGGATATTACGTAAAAATGTACGATAAAATTCAAAACAGTGTTAAAAATTTATCAAGCAAAACATTTTTTTGAGAATTTAATAAACATTCGACTGATCCTCCATAGGTGATAGCCCTATCATTACCGAATAAAAATATTGCATACGATAACACATGAATTGAAGAGGACGTGAATTTCCGTCTCCCGTCATCAACGCTTCAAAAACAAAAGAAGCTGACGCGTGTGTCCCGTCTACAATGTACAGACTCCTCTCGATTATCGTCCCGAACTTGGGTCCGCGCCGGAACAATAATCTTAAAGGGAGAAATGCTTCAGACCCTTGTAAATTCGTTTTTTTCCCCGAAGCCAGAATTTCACCAACAAAAGCGGAAGGACAACAAAGTATGTGCTTGACAGGATCCACGCCCCCCCCCCCTCAGTGGTGGGGATGACGCCTGGACAAAAATCGTGTAGGACAAGCCGGACGATAATCAAGAAGAGTCTGTATTAATACATTGCTTCTGTGTTAGACAACGGAAAGTTTTCAATTTACTCTCGTCGTATTTGTACTCACTTTTTCGGGAGTGGGTGAGGCCGCTGTTGAACTTAACCCCTGTTGTAGATGATACATTTTCGGGGCGAGCATTGATGGAGGTGCACCGAGGCTACCCGGGGCGACAGCCACGCTCATGGTCATTTCCTATGATGTACGCAGTCCCCGGCTTCTTGGAAGCACCTGTCCGCGGCTGTCTGCGATTTTCGTAATCGTTCATCCTCGATCCGTGAACGCTGCAACGTAAACGCATGCACGTTAGATAAACATTTTTTCCTTGTTCGAAATGAGTTTGCTATTGAGGATACTTTCACGGGACTGATGACATTAATCGAATGATAAAAAATACGAGAATACTTAACGATACTTAACACGTTTACTGAAATGGTGGTGACCGATGACGAGAGTCATTAAATTACACGAAGAAATATTCAATTTCTGAACAGGAGCATTTAGTATCTATGTAAATGTAATTAGTAGTAAAGTAATAATGAAGCGTTCGAGTCAACGTGTAAATGTATCGTTAATAGCAAAAACAGAAACAAATGTAAGGTATAGATTGGCCAGGAACATTAAGGCTTGCTTGGAGGAAATAAAAGAAAACATAAGTTTTATCATTCATCAACGACGCAGATAAGAATAACATACATTATTTCAATAGTAAAAATTGTGGCAGTCAACATGTTAATAAGTCATGCTAAAATAACGGTGGACCGTCTGGTTTTTGTCCTAAGTCATTGATAACCTTTCTTGACCATGCGACTATAATAATAATTAATGATAGTAAGATTTATCCTCGTCTATCACATTGAAGTGGCTACACACTGACGATCATATGTAATCGGACAGTTAACATGAATGTTACTAAAATTCGGACACTTTTGATCAGTGAGCAGCGAAAGTATACGAACCGCAGAATACCCACAGATGTATACAAAGTTTGTACAACATATTACAGTACATAAAAGAAAAAACTTATGTAAATTATTTACTTCTAATAAAGTCTAAAGCCTGTACTATTTATACAGTAATGTCGTTCTTCTTCAACGCCCCATGGCAGTTCACGAAGTCAAACGTTTAAGGAGACATTATGATCGAATCATCATACACTACGAAAAGTTACACACGTCGTTTAGATGACTAAGAGATTTAAGATAATATCATTTCATCCGTAATCTGACAGTATCTACAGTAAAAAAAAAGAAATAAGATTGAGGAAGTGCTACCAACTCTAACAGTAACGGCTGAAGAGTAAAATGTATAGAGCAGAAATGATATTTAACTCCTCTTTCATCTTTCATATTACAAAGGTCTGATATCAATACAATGGAGGCACCGACTGTAATTTCACACTCATCAGTTAGCAGTAAACTGAAGACATGCTCGACAGCTTTTCATCTATCCACGTCAGTGAAACGCATGTGTTACATCTTCACTTCGATTCTGACCATCAAACACGAACATATTCAGGTCTGGGTTAGGTTGTTTATGTTCACACTACTATATCATTTATAATATGATTCGCAAACATTTCTGACTGATGTTAAAAACTTAATTTGTACAATAAAGTGATACTCGAGAAGATTGAAAGTCTAACAAAGGATGCTGGCGAAGTGATACACACCGATCTTTATGTAATTTTGCTCAATTGTGTATGGAACCAACCTTTTAAGGGAGAAACCACCCCTTTTATCCGAAGTGTCCCTTTTACTTATTCACTTCTAACTTGTAAACTACAAAAGGTATCGGAAAATTTTTTAGGCGTGTTTTATGTCGTTTTTACTTCTCCATATAACGATAAAAAAACATTCATTTTCGGACAAATTTTTTTTAACAAAGATTATTTTTTTTTAATATTTTTTCCTACCGATCTATGGACAACTAAAAACAATGTAAAATTTATCTAAATTTTTAGAGTTATAAACAATTAGTTATAAAAGAGTTACAGAAAAATCAGCGTCTATTACTATGCGAACAATCCTCATAAGTAGGTATGTAACTACAAAATAAAATCTTGGCTTCCCTTCTGCTTCCCATTCTGTTGACAGAAGGGTTTCATCCTCAGAGTAATTCTATACTAGCTAGTATGTTAATCAACGCTCAATGAAAATATCTTATTACCATGCATAACATTTACAATCATAAAATACAGCTCACATCATAAAAACAAGGACTGTCTAGACAGTTCCCTATCCCTGAATCGTCGGAAAGAATGTCAAACTCACAACAACACGTTTAAATGTTCGTCATTCACGTTCTACTTATTATATTAACAGGAACGAAAATTCCAACGATTCCGTGATCACGCCTTTTCCTTTTTAATGCACGTGAAACCCGACCATTTCTCTTTTACGGCCACGGGATCGATCGAATTTCTCGATACACTTCCGTTCCGCCCGGACGATGAAAGGGGTCGTCCAAGCCTTTTTGTCCGCGTCTACCACGGATATAGAATCACGCCGAAATGGCCGTTCGGCGTTGGGCAATCGTTCTCGATCGCGTTACGACACATTCCACAATAGTACCGTGTAATTTCACTTTCGCCAGGAGATCGCAATTGCACAATTTTCGTCGCGCCAGACGAGACATTCGGGCGGACCTAGAAAGCGTCTAGGAAATGCTAATTCGCCAGAAGTTACAACCGCTGCGGTCGCCGGCACGGCGGTGGTGTTACGTGCACGGGGCCGAAAGACGAATAGATACACACGTTCGACCGATGCGACGATTCTATGCGCGTCCCGTTCGTAAACCTGTTCCCGTGTCGTCGAGGTTCGCGATGCACGGTGACAACGTGTGATAAGAAATTCGAATCTGTTGGTCGGACATATTGGGTTGTTAAGGGTGAAACTTGACAAATGTCAAAACGCAAATTGTGGACATTTATTATGTCTGGTTTGGCGCCAAAATTCAGTACTAGATTAGGTCAGTTTCAAAGACGTATCTTTGGTCTTCATAAGCCATACAGTAAATCCTCGATCAGTGTTCGAAGGCTCCTCGGAATTGACAAGGATAGGTCGCCAGATGTAACGCTGACTTTTTAATAAGGTTTTGCACAGTGATAAAGCTTGGAATTCTGAAGCCAATGGCATTTGTTTCGACCGCATGTAACTATTAATTTATGAAATATTTAATGTTCAGTGCAGAGGAGCTTTCGATTACTCATCCAGGATTTACTGTATTTGTTTGTTAAAATATTTTGATTAGCTCTATTGGTTAACCAATTTTTGTAGAACCATGGAAATGTCGCAAATTCGTATGATTTATGGACATTTGTTCCGCCGTGGAACCATAGTATCGATGACAGCTCGTAATGTCAATGCTGTGTTTGGCGAAGGATCTACTAATGAACCCACGGTGAGCAATTGGTTCAACAAATTCAAAGATGGGAATTTCAACCTCACCAATGAGTCACGTGGAAGACCAGAATCGAAGGTGAATAATGATCACCCGAGAGCGCCGTAGTGGAGTCCGATTCATTTCAAAGTACACGTGAATTGGTGTCGATATTCAGTGTCTTCAGTATACCCATATATTGGCTCATTTGGCTCAAATAGGTAAAGTGTAGATGTTACGTTCTACTTGTCAAGTTTCATACTTAGTGACCCAATATTTAGGAAAATGTGGAACTTTAAAACGTTGTACTTTGGAAATTAATCGGTTGTAGAAATTAATTTATATAATGTTTTTTGTCACTATGGTTGGTAGAATACACTCACAAAGAGTAATGCCTTATTTTAAAAACACCCTATATATTCAAGAATTTAAAGAACAGAGTCCCCTTTATCGAAGAAAATGTTGGTAATATACAATAAGAAATGATTTTCTGCATTTGTGACATATACAATAATACTTATATGGTTCACTGGAATGTGAAAGTTATAAAAAAAATCTGTATAAATTAGATCGTAAAACATTAAAGTGCTTGTAACTTTCCACACAAAAGGGTTCATAATAAAAGTTGTCAGGAGCTTTCTTCATTGCCCAAAGACGACTGTACGCTTTCTCCGATCGTTGTTTAATTTCCACATTCTGTATATTATACATTAGAGTTGGGCAGAATTTTATTGGAATAATACACAGTGAAAAGCAGCAGTATCTAAGGGTGGCGTCCTGAGCTTTAAACAGTTAATGAAATTAAAAAATTGTTCGACAAATGTGAATTCATTCATAAAAAAGTATTATTTTATTATAAAAATTATATCAATATTTTACTCAACTAGAGAACTATCTCATTCTATTTCTTTCGCTATTAGTGAAAACAGTTTTACACAGAAGATCGAGGGAAAAATTAGAGTATGTAAACGTAAACGGTAATTTTTTTAAAAATTGAACTTTAAATCGAAGGTACTATTCACTAAATAAAAAATTGATATAAATCCATATGTGAAAAAATTTAAATAAGGAGACTTATATGTCCAAATTTTAAAATATGTACAGAATTTTGATTTTAACATTGAATTATTATTTTGTTAAAGGTTTTACTGAAAAATGAAGTCACTACACTCACTAGATTCACAGTTAACAAATGCTCATTACTTTACATTTCACATTATCAAACCATATTTCATGGTTGTTTAATTATTTATAGCTTCTAAAAGGACAATGCTCATTCTTACCATAAGTACTCAGTACAAACGGTGAATTTGATTAACTGTAACGTACCAGAACCCAGAGGAAACACAAAAGAATTTGAACCTTAAACAATGTAGGTTGACACACCTCTTGTGAAGTCTACGGTGCAACCTGCACAATAGTGTACACCTAATACTGTTAGCTCGCGCTAGAAGAATTCATTACGAATGTACCATCACGTCGCTGACTGCGTTTTATTTAAGGTACATCGTGTCGCGCATTTGACCGTTTTGATCTCATTGCCTATAATAGCATGTATGGATTTATTTTATGGACCTTCTAATTATTTGGTTAAACAAAAAGTATCTTGACATATTTCATACGCTACAAAATTTGAAATATTCAGGTGACATAAAAGAATACTGCGAACTTTTAACCACTCTGTTTTCTGTAGTTTTGTATTATATAACAGAGAAATAAATTTGCTTGCATAATGATGGTTGTAAACCATAGTTCACGATGAAATGTATTCTGACGATTACAATAATTTTTTTTTACATTTATGATTTGGTTAAGTAATACTGTGTAATATTTTCTGAGGAATCTTAATGGAAGTAAATAAAATTAATAAAAAGTCCCCTTATTCTGTGACATGACGTGGTGCTTTTGTGC